TTCACTGACATTTAAAGTGTGAAATGTTTGCACCTGGCTATAAAGCAAGTCTGTTCCTGGGCTGAAGAAACTGTTAGGAGGCTAGTCCCTAAGGAGAGGAAGATGGGAGTTGCTATGTGATGTCATTACCTGGAGCTCACAACCACCATTTCTGGGCTGGGCTGGGCTGGGCTGTGGGCTGCATTTTGCGCCATGGGGTCTTGGCAGCGGCAGCTGCGATTTGGTGGGCTGCTCCTAAGTGATGACAGGGCCTGTGTCCCACTTGGGGGAAGCTAAGTGTTGCTTTGTGGGTGCCAGGTCTGTGGTGCCGTTTCTCTGTAAATGGCCAGTGTGCGTCACAGCAGCTCCTGCATTGAGCATCTGCTCCCTGGTGATCAGTGCACATCATAGTGACAAGTCAGACATTCAGCATGTTAGCCTTTTATTAGTAGATATATAAATTGTTGAGCTTTATTTGGGGGTACATTTTTACTTAGATTAGCTTAATCCTTTAGAGGCTAGGTTTTAAGCCATACACATACACACACATACACACACACACACACACACACCACACACCACACACACACTAGAGGCCGTGTGCACTAAATTTGTGCACTGAGGGGGGGTCTCTCAGCCTGGCCTGTGCCCTTTCGCAGTCTGGGAGCCCTCAGGGGATGGATGTCCAATTGCCAAGGGCAGTGGGCCTAAGCTGTAAGTCAGGCATCCTTAGCGCTGCTGCGGAGGTGTGAGAGGCTCCCACTACCGCTGCTGTGCTCACCAGCCATGAGTCCAGCTTCTGGCTGAGAGGACCTCCCCCTGTGGGAACACACTGACCACCAAGGGGCAGCTCCTGGATTGAGTGCCTGTCCCCTGATGGTCATTGTGCATCATAGCAACCCATCCTTTCCCCCTTTGGTTGATTTGCATATCAGCCTTTTATTATATAGGACTAGAGGCCTGGTGACCAGTGGGGTCCCTTGGCCTGGCCTTTGGGGATCAGGCTGAAACCAGCTCTCCTACATCCCCCGAGGAGTCCCAGATTGCGAGAGAGTGGTTCTCGAGTGATTTTTCCCCAACTCGGGCTCCCTCTTCTCTCTCTGGGTCTGGGGTGCGGGTGAAGCCAATTCTGGGCCAACAGTGCCCCAGTAGCAGCCTACTCCATGGTCGATTCTGCAAGGAATCGGGCTTCCTCCTCTACTGGTTAGAGCATCTGCCCCCTGTTGGTCATTGCACATCATACCAGTCGGACAGTTGCTTAGGTTTTTATACTAGTATAGGTATATTTTAGAGAGGAAGGGACAGGGAGAGATAGAAATATAAATGATGACAGAGAATCATTGATTGGCTGCCTCCTTCACACCCCACAATGCGGATCTAGGCTACAACCCAGGTGTGTGCCCTGATGGGGAATCGAACCATAATCTCCTGGTTCAGAGGTTGATATTCAACCACTGAGCCATGCTGGCCCAGCAGTTTTAAGCTTTGTTAGTGCTGGTTCAGACATCCTATTGTGTAAAACTTATTCATATACATCCTATAAGGCATTAATTACCTTCTGATTAATGGAAGCAGGAGCTCTGGGGATTGTTCTCACTCCTTTTTTCTTTTTTTCTACCCTCACCTGAGGGCATTTCTTCCATTGATTTTTAGAGAGAATGGAAGGAAGAGAGGAGGCAGAGAAACATTTATGTGAGAGAGAGACATAGATTTGTTGCGTCCCACCCCCAATCAGGGCTGCAGATCAAACCTGCAAACAAGGTATGCCCTCTTGACCAGGAATTGAACCCAAAACCCTTCAGTTCGTGGGCCGACACACTAACCACTGAGCCAATGGGCCAAGGCCTGGCTGCTACTTTTCAGAGGCATTTTTTCTCCAGAGTTAGTCGTTTTTTTTCATATGCACGCATAGGTCATTACTCAGCGGAAACCTTAACTAGAATCTCTTGATCTCTGGAACTCTTTGCCCCTGCAGCTTCCTTCTCTTCATTAGTTCTGCAAATTCTAGCTGCCTTGGTGTCTCCCATAACTCTGAACTCTTTTAATTCAGTGAGACCATTGGGCTCTGAATGGGTCCCACCTTTCCCCTCCCTGTTTCATTCAGCCCCTTAACTGCAGGCAATAGGGTTACTTCACTTTTTTTTTTTTTTTTCTCTTGAAGATCTCTGCCCTGAGATAATGCCTAGTGTCTGAAAGTTATTGTTCCACATATTTTGTCTAGTTTTCTGCTTTTTTAAGGTAGAAGGGTAAATGCAGTCTCTGTTTTGTTCTTGTTTTGTTTCTTATCTTGGAAGGCATCCCTGCCTTATGGATGATGTCATTTTGGTTTTGTAAATATTTGTCTTTTTTGGCTTTTTGAATATTTGTAGGACTTTTGGGAAAACCAGTGTATAAACTTTAATAAATTTAGGCAGCTGGAGTGCATGTTCTCTCTCTTCTTGTTCCTTTTTACATACTGTGCTCCACATACATACTCACATCTTCTTTCATCTCTTGCGCATCATGTTCATTCCAAATATGAGAAGTATCAAGACAGTCTATTACTGAACATTTTTACTTAATACAAGATAGTGGTGACAAATGTTAGCTGTCATGTTTACCTGGGAGAAAATAGTGTTTTTATTTCTTTTTCTTTTTGTTTACTAAAAGGAGATAATGAATTCTTCGTTATTTTTCAACATAGAATATCTATTCCTGAATTGGTTAAAGCATAATATAGTTGATATTGCTTGAAACTTTGAGCCATGAAATATTTGAAGTTATCCTAAGAGGGAAACAAAACAATATTTCCCTCTGTATTAAAATCTATAGTATTCCAAAGTTATTTTTTATTCATCTGGTAAATTTACAGAATAAGTATTAAATTTTGTTTTTAATTAAGGTATTTAGCATATATAGTAATAATTACCTTTTTATATAGTTAAGTTATACTGTTGAAAAATGCCTTACCCGATTTTAAATTTGTAACCTTATCTTTTGATGAAACTAGCATATTTAAAGAATTATTTAAACTTATTTAAAAAGCACATTTTCTTTAAGAAACAATGGAAAATTCAACTATTATACATTGACTTCAGAGTTGCCATGAATACATTAATAGTAAGGCAAATACTGTTTTAAAGTCAATTAATACTATAAAACACATTAAAACAGGGTTAATGTTGTTTTGAGAATGAATAGTAAAACAGTGTTGCTCTCATTTTGTGACAGTCATGAAAATTTAAATTAGAGCTGAATGGTATCACTTTACTATTCTTGGACATCCAATTTATTTGATATAATTTTTCTTTATGAATAACCTAATTATCCTTACTAGATGTTAGGGGTTACATTTATAGCAGTAATTATACTTATGGCTCAAAAAAAAACAAAACTTTTAAAAAATTTTTATATTTTATTGATTTTTTACAGAGAGAGAGAGAGAGAGAGAGAGCTAGAAACATCAATGAGAGAAACACCAACCAGCTGCCTCCTGCACACCCCTCACTGGGGATGTGCCTGCAACCAATATACATGCCCTTGACCGGAATCAAACCTGGGACCTTTCAGTCCGCAGACCGAACATCTATCCACTGAGTCAAACCGGTTTCTGCTCCTTTGTTATTTTTGAGAAAGAAATACTTAATTCCTGTGGTACATTTAAATTTGGTAATGGGCTGTTTGTTACATTTTTGCCTTAGAGTCAAGCATCTTAAAATATTTCACCAAACCTATACAATGTAAGATAGTAAAAATTAAGTAAAAGTATAGCATTCACTAACTCTAATCAAACATAAAACAAGACGAAATATAGGTTTTCATTATGTGGATTCTTTTTAAAACTTTAATGTTAATTCTTAATGATTTGTTTCCCTTGGAAATGTTCCTGCCTGTCTTATTATTATTAGATTGCTTGTTGGAGGTAATCCACATGTATGTGTATGTATGTGTTTGTTTTAATAAAATAGATTCATACTTTTTATGAATTTAAAATAGATGTTTCTCTTATTCTCTCCCAAAGTATATTTCTTATGATGTTAAATAATTGCTCTAAATTTGAATGTATTTTTAATGGTTAGCAACTATTATTAGATCATTAGATATACTTACTACTTTCCTAAGGTAAACATTTCACTAAAATTTTGGTGAGAGATATTTGTTTTTAAAATCTGTGCTTCCAAAATTTTTGTATGCACCATTTTTGAGTTTTTATCTCATTTTCAGTTTACATTTTTTAAGTTAACATCTCTAGTGACTATCACCTCTGCTACGCTGAATTTTTTGTACCTGATGTTTGCAGTGCCTAGTCATTTTGGACTTACTTATCTTTTTTGAGGTTAAGACATGAGCCCCATTATTGTTCTTCCCTATTGTAATAAAGTAAATTCTATTAGAATGTGTATGAAATTAGAGGATTGAAGGACAAAGGCTTCAGAAAGCTGACATATGTTACTACTCTTCATTGAAGTAAATTTTAATGAGTATTTGGGTTTCATTTACTAGTCATAAGAACATATGATATATTTCATTATATGGCATAGGAATAAACATCAGAAACTGAATGAATATTATATAAAGAAGTATTTGGAAGGAGAGGTATTTTAATTAAATGACTAAATCTGAATTAATTGGATATTTCTGAGACTAATAGAAGAACATTTAAAAGAAAAAATGTCAGCTGAGGGCTGAACATTTTCATCAACTCCATTTTTTATTTATGTTTCTATCTTGTATATGAGGACTGGCGGACAGTTTTAACTGTAGAGAGAAATGGGAAGGAAGAGTTTTTCATATTTAATAATTTCTATCTCAAAGCATGTCTGCCAGTCTAGCTCTCCCCAAGTATTATAGTTAAGAATATTTGAAATGTTCTTTTTGTTTTGTTTTCTATATATAATATTGGATATTTTTGTGACTGTTCATATATTTACATGTTAGTAATTTTGATGGCTTTTGGATAATTCCACTCTAGAGGGAGAACTGGTGGGCGGTCCTTCCTGTGACACGACCCTTGAGTGACAGTTCTGTTTGATTGCCTCCAGTACTGTGAGGAAAGGACACGACTCTATGGTGAGGACTGATGGACATACATTATCTGAGAAAAGAAACTACCAGGTAAGATTTATTTCCCTTTTTTCTTATTGGTCAGATAGCTACATTGAACTGATTAATATGTTGTATTTAACTAGAACCAGCATATTGGTTGGATATACCTCAATTTGAAAAATGTGTGTTATAATTTAAAGTACATATATAATGGGTTTGACAGTTTAAATAGTTGGGGACATTTTTTAAAATAAAATATGCTTCTAATAAATGTATATACTTTTAATGTCAACACAAATTTTCTGGTGTGTGTATAATATGTCAAAATTTATTTTATCTGGTACATAATTTATAACTTTATGGCTGGATTCAGAGATTGCTTTTATATATATATTATTACTGGAAGACTAAACTGAAGTCTTATGCTATATTCAGGGTAATGGAGAATTACAGAAATGTGGGCAAAATTGGTTAGAATATAGAAGAAATATAAATGAAAATCCCAGGATGCTCAGAGACCAAAATTCTACAGAACTTGTCATTTACTTCTGTCCTTATAATGCTAGAGTCCTGTTTCTCATTTATTAAGTTAGTTAATACCCATCCTCTATGTAATCTGTATTCTGTTTTATTTTTCTTTATTACCATTTAGGTAACCTATATCCTTTTCCACCTACCCCTGTCCATAATCACCACACTGTTTTTCTTGTTCATGAGTTCTTTCTTTTTTTGTTTCTTTTTAACTCACATTCCTACCCCCCAACCTACTGTTTTCTTTTTCAGCTTTTAATTGAAGGTGAATTTTAAAGTTGGTGCTATTAAATAGTGATTAAAATAAAACATTTTAATTTAATTTTTTCAAATAAAATCTGCTTTATTCATTTAGTAATAATTCATTATTAAGTTATTTAATGATTCGGAATACAGAATAATTTAAAGTTCAGAGCTTTAGGCTTTCTGTACAGATACATATCCAACCTCCTTCTCTCCCTTCCATTCACCAGTTTCATTTCCTCTAGGCTGAGACAGTATTAGTGTGATAGTGACAGCATTGGTTAATCTGCTAATCATTAGTTTTAACTAAAGTTTTTCTTCCCTCAACTTGGTAAAATGAAGAATGGAGAAAATTTGTATATGGGTATTCATGTAAAATTAGCAGAGAGTCTATGATTTGATTATAAGACTTGCTGGTTTGGGCACTACCCCTAATAAAAAAACAGTGTCATCCTGACTGGTGGCTCAGTTGGTTCAAACTACCCTGTTTCCCCGAAAATAAGACAGTATCTTATATCAATTTTTGCTCCCAAAGATGCGCTAGGTCTATTTTCAGGGGATGTCTTATTTTTCCATGAAGAAGAATACAATACAAATTTATTGATAAATGAAAATAAAGGAAATTTATTACTTGTATATGGTACGGTAGTATGGTAGTTGTCAACACAAACCAGACAAATTGTGAATCCTACAGTATTAAGAATTTACTCATTTATTCAATGACAATCATGTCATCATCTTCTGGAACATCATCATAACAATCCAATTCCTGAATTTCCTGGTGAATTTCTTGTGACTCCATTTCTTTCAGAATCAGTGGACCAAATCACTCATGTTTAGCCTAGGGAGGGCCTAATTTTCGGGGGGGATGCCTTATTTTTCACTCAGAAGGAAACCTGTAAGTAGGTCTTATTTTCAGAGGATGTCTTATTTTCGGGGAAACACGGTATATCCAAAAAGGTTGCAGTACAATTCCTGGTCAGGTTACATACCTAGGTTTCGGGTTTGATCTCTGGGTAGGAGGCAACCAATCCATGTATCTGTCTCTGTTTCTGTTTCTGTTTCTGTTTCTGTCTGTCTGTCTCTCTCTTTCTCCCTTGCTCCCTTTTCCCTCTCTCTCTAAAATTAATAATAATAGAAAAAGGAAACATATCCTTGGGTAAGGATTTTTTAAAAAGCACATAAGACAGTGTCATATTTAACCTTTCTAGAGTTTCTCCTAACTTAATGTCTGAAGTTTCTTGCCAGACATCAAGTTTATGATTTTAATAAGCCAGAATAAGGCATGCCTGTGAAAAATCATTTCTTGTAACCTTTTCTATTCTGAATTGTTCTCATAGACTTGACTAACATGGCCATTGCTTATCCTCTTATATAATAAAGAGGTAATATGCAAATTTACCATCACTCTCAACACACAAGATGTCTGCCCCCATGTGGTCAAAGATGGTTGCCACAAGATGGCCAGCAGGGGAGGGTAGCTAGGGATGACCAGGCCTACTGGGAAGGGCAGTTGGGGGCAACCAGGCTGCCAGGGAGGCAATTGGGGTTAACCAGGCCTACAGGTTAGAGGTGACTGGCCGGCAAGAGATGGCAGTTGGGGGCAATCGGACTGACAGGGGAGCAGTTAGGCATCAATCAGGTTGGCAGGGGAGTGGTTAGGGGATGATCAGATTGGCAGACAAAGCAGTTAGGGGCCATCTGGCAGGCAGGCTGGCAGGTGAGTGGTTGGGAGCCAACAGTCCTGGATTGTGAGGGGGATGTCCCAGATTAGAGTGGGTGCAGGCTGGGCTGAGGGACACACACAGACACATCCACCTACCCCCATGCACAAATTTTGTGCACTGGGCCTCTAGTAATTTATGTTTGCTGTAGCTCCTGTCTCACCACCACTTCCAACTACCTTGACTCATAGTTTCAATTGGTCACACCACTTGGGCTTTTGAATCTTTGATAGGTTCTGGTAAATTATTTTAAGAATATGATTCTAGGTTATATGCCTTTTCTTAATTTATAATTGAGCTTGAAAAGAACTGTGTATCATTACACAGTATGGGTAATTCATGAATCACATTAATATAGAATTCCAAAATATTCACATAAGAAGGAAATAAGATGAGGTTATAATTTACACATGAAGTTATTTTATAATTCCTAATCATTCTATTCTAAAAATAGTTTATATCTTCAGTCACATTATTTACAAATAATCCAGGTTTTTAATGTTTTACTGGCTGAAAATATTTTTCATTTTCTTATTTCTTAGAGGCCCGGTGCATGAAATTCTTGCAGGGTGGATGAAGGGGTCCCTTGGCCTGGCTGGCAATCAGGGCCTGCCAGCCAGGGAAGGGACCACGGCACTTTGGTTGTGGGAATGCACTGACCACCAGGGACAGCTCTTGCATTGAGCATCTTCTCCTTGGTGGTCAGTGCACGTCATAGCTACCTGTAGATCTGTCATTTGATTGTTCAGTTGTAACAGCCGCTTAGGCTTTTATATAGATAGATTTATTAAATCTATATTGTTGAAAATATTACATATGTCTCCTTTTTTACCCCATTGACCTCTTCTAGCCTGCCCCCCCCCATCTTCCTCACCCTATCTTTTGTGTCCATGAGTAGTTATGCATGTACTGCCCTGTTTCCCCGAAAATAAGACAGTGTCTTATATTAATTTTTTCTGCCAAAGTTGCGCTGAATCTTATTTTCAGGGGATGTCTTACCTTTCCATGCGCTAGGTCTTATTTTCGGAGGATGTCTTATTTTCGGGGAAACATGGTAGTATGCATATAAATTCTTTGGTTAATCTCTTCCCATCCACCCACCCTTCCCCCCCTTCCCTTTGAGATTCCACAGTCGGTTCCATGTCTTTGGATCTATTTTGTTCACCAGTTAATTTTGTTAAATTCCACATATGAGTGAGATCATATGATAATTGTCTTTCTCTGACTGGTTTATTTTGCTCAGCATAATACTCTACAGGTCCCTCCATGTTGTTTCAAAGAGTAAGAGATTCTTCTTTTTTAATGCTGTATAGAATTCCATGTTATAAATGTATCACAACTTTTTATCCACTTTTCTAATGATGGGCACTTGGGCTGTTTCCAGATCTTAGCTGTTGTAAATATGTTGCTATGAATATAGAGGTGCATACATTCTTTCTGATTGGGGTTTCAGGTATCTTAGAATATATTCCTAGAAGTAAAATCACTGGGTCAAATTGCATTTCCATATTTAATTTTTTTTGAGAATATTCCATACTCTTTTCCATAAGGGTTGCACCAGTCTGAATTCTCATCAGCAGTGTACTAGGGTTCCCTTTTCGCCACATCCTCGCCAGCATGTATCATTTATCAGAAGTACCATTGCCAGATATGTTCTCCCATATCATGGGCTCCCTTTTCATTTTGTTAATGGTATCTTTTGGTGTGCAGAAGCTTTTTATTTTTATGTAGTCCCATTTATTTACTTTTCCCTTACTCCTTTGCCCTAGGAAATATATCTATAAACATTGCTACAAGAGATTTCTGAGGTTTTTCTGCCTATGGTTTCTACTAGGATTTTTATGGTCTCATGTCTTACATTTAAATCCTTTATCCACTTTGAGTTTATTCTTGTGTATGGTATAAGTTGGTGGTCTAGTTTCATTGTTTTGCAAGTATCTGTCCAATTTTCCTAATACCATTTATTGAAGAGACTGTTTTTACTCCATTGTATATTCTTGCCTCCTTTGTCAAATAATAATTTAGTGTAATGGCTGGGGTCAATTTCTGGGTTCTCTGTTCTATTCCATTGATCTATGTGCCTGTTCTTGTGCCAGTGCCAGGTTCTTTTAATTACCATGGCTTTGTATCTGGTATTGTGATCCCTCCAACTTTGTTTTTCTTCCTCAAGATTGTTGTGGCTTTTGGGGACGTTTTTATTCCATATAACTTTTTAGAGTATTTGCTCCAGATCTGTGAAATTTTTGCTCCAGATCTGTTGTTATTTTACTAGGGATTGCATTGAATCTGTAGGTGGCTTTAAGTAGTACAAACATTTTATTGATTTGACTTCTACCAACCAGTGAACATGGACAAATTCTTCCACTTGTTTATATCTTCCTCGATCTATTTTTTCAACTTTCTGTTGTTTTCCAAGTACAAGTCTTTTTTTACTTGGTTAAGTTTATTTCAAATATCTTAATTTTTTTTGTTGCAATGGTAAATGGGATTGTTTAGTTTCTCTTTCTGATAATTCATTATTGATGTATAAAAATTCCACGATTTATAGGTGTTAATTTTGAGTCCTGCTAC